TCCTTGAGGAATTGCCACACTTACACAATGGTTGCACTAATTTGCACTCCCACCAGCAGTGTAACAGGGTTCCCATTTCTCCACATCCTCTCCAGCATCTGTTATCTCCAGATTTTTTAATGATTGCCATTCTAACTGGTCTGAGATGGTATTTCTCAATGTGGTTTTGATTTGCATTTCTCTAATGACCAGTGATGGTGAGTATTTTTTCATGTTTGTTGGCCTCATGGATGTCTTCTTTTGTAGTGTCTGTTCATATGCTTTGCCCACTTTTGAATGGGTTGTTTTTTCCTTAGAAATCTGTTTTAGTTCTTTGTACATTCTGGATATTAGCCCTTTGTCAGATGGGTAGATTGCAAAAATTTTTTCCCATTCTGTTGGTTGCTGATTCACTCTAATGACTGTTTCTTTTGCTGTGCAGAAGCTGTGGAGTTTGATTAGGTCCCATTTGTCTATTTTGGCTTTTGTTGCCATTGCTTTTGGTGTTTTAGCCATGAAGTCCTTGCCTATGCCTATGTCCTGAATGGTTTTGCCTAGGTTTTCTTCTAGGGTTTTTATGGTGTTAGGTCTTATATTTAGATCTTTAATCCATCTGGAATTAATTTTGGTGTAAGGTGTCAGGAAGGGGTCCAATTTCTGCTTCCTGCACATGGCTAGCCAATTTTCCCAACACCATTTATTAAACAGGGAATCCTTTCTCCATTGCTTTTGTCAGGTTTGTCAAAGATCAGATGATTGTGGATGTGTGGTGTTGCTTCTGAGGCCTCTGTTCTGTTCCATTGGTCTATGTCTCTGTTTTGGTACCAGTACCATGCTGTTTTGATTACTGTGGCCTTATAGTATAGTTTGAAGTCAGGCAGAGTGATGCTTCCAGCTTTGTTCTTTTTGCTTAGAATTGACTTGGCTATGTGGGCTCTCTTTTGGCTCCATATGAAGCTTAAGGTGAGTTTTTTCCAGTTCTGTGAAGGTCATTGGTAGCTTGATGGGGATAGCATTGAATCTATAAATTACTTTGGGCACTATGGCATTTTCATGATATTGATTCTTCCTAACCATGAGCATGGAATGTTTCTCCATCTGTGTCCTCTCTCATTTCGTTGAGCAGTGGTTTTTCGTTGTCCTTGAAGAGGTCCTTTACATTCTTTGTTAGTTGTATTCCTAGGTATTTTATTCTCTTTGTAGCAATTGTGAATGGGAGTCCACTTTTGATTTGGCTATTATTGGTGTATAGAAATGCTTATTTCTGCACATTGATTTTGTATCCTGAGACTTTGGTGAAGTTGCTTATCAGTTTCAGGAGAGTTTGGGCTGAGACAATGGGGTCTTCTAAATATACAGTCATTTCATCTGCAAATAGAGACAATTTGACTTCCTCTTTTCCTAATTGAATACCTTTTATTTCTTTTTCTTGCCTGATTGCTCTGAATACATGTTAACTAAGGAGTGGTGAGAGAGGGCATCCTTGTCTTGTGCCAGATTTCAAAGGGAATGCTTCCAGCTTTTGCCCATTCAGTATGTTATTGGCTGTGGGTATGTTGTAAATAGTTTTTATTACTTTGTGATACATACCATCGATACCTAGTTTACTGAGGGTTGTTAGTATAAAGGGCTGTTTAATTTTGTCAAAAGGCCTTCTTTTCATCTATTGAGATAATCATGTGGTTTTGGTTCTGTTTATATGATGGGTTACATTTATAGACTTGAGTATGTTGAACCAATCTTGCGTCTCCAGGATGAAGCCCACTTGATCATGATGAATAAGCTTTTTGATTTACCAGTATTTTATTGAAGATTTTTGTGTCGATGTTCATCATGGATATTGGCCTGAAGTTTTCTTGGTTAGTTGCGTCTCTGCCCACTTTTGATAGTAGGATGATGTTAGTCTCATAAAATGATTTGGGAAGGATTCCCTCTTTTTGTATTGTTTGGAATAAATTCAAAAGGAATGGTACCAGCTCCTCTTCATACGTCTGAGAGAATTCAGCTGTAAACTCGTCTGGACCTAGGCTTTTTTTAGCTGGTAGGCTATTAAGTGCTGCCTCAACTTCAGCCCTTGTTATTGGTTTATTCAGGGATTCAACTTCTTCCTGATTTAGTCTTGGGATAGTGCAAATGTCCAGGAATTTATCCATTTCTTCCAGATTTACTGGTTTGTGTGTATAGAGTTGTTTGTAGTAATCTCTGATGGAAGTTTGTATTTCTGTGGAATCGATGGTGATGTCCCTTTTAACATTTTTTATTGCATCTATTTGATTTTTTTCTCTTTTCTTTTTTACTAGTCTGGCTAGCAGTCTATCTATTTTGTTGATCTTTTCAAAAAAACAGCTCCTGGATTTATTGATTTTTTGAAGGGTTTTTTTGTGTCTGTCTCTCCTTCAGTTCTGCTCTGATCTTAGTTATTTCTTGTCTTCTGCTAGCTTTTGAGTTTTTTTTTAAACTTGCTCCTCTAACTCTTTAAATTTTGACGATAGGGTGTTGATTTTAGACCTTTCCTTGCTCCTCATTTGGGCATTTATTGCCATGAATTTCCCTCTACACAGTTTTAAATGTGTCCCAGAGATTCCAGTATGTTGTGACATCATTCTCATTGCTTTTGAAGAACAACTTTATTTCTGCCTTCATTGTTTGTCCAGTCTACATTCAGGAGCCAGTTGTTTATTTTCCATGAAGTCGTACGGTTCTGAATTAGTTTCTTAATCCTGAGTTCTAATTTGTTTGCACTGTGGTCTGAGAGACTGTTATGATTTCTGTTCTTTTGCATTTGCTGAGGAGTGATTTACTTCCAATTATGTGGTTGATTTTAGAGTAAGTACGACGTGGTGCTAAGAATGTATATATTCTGTGGATTTGGGGTTAAGAGCTCTGTAAATGTCTATTAAGTTCGCTTGGTCCAGATCTGCATTCAAGTCCTGGATATCCTTATTGATTTTCTGTCTTGTTGATCTAATATTGACAGTGGAATGTTAAAGTCTCCCACTACTATTGTGCGGGGGTCTGAGTCTCTTTGTAGGTCGTTAAGGACTTGCTTTATGTATCTGGGTGCTTCTGTATTGGATGCATATATATGTAGAACAGTTAGCTCTTGTTGTTGTATTGATCCTTTTACCACTATGTAATGCCCTTTTTTGTCTCTTTTGATTTTTGTTGGTTAAATGTCCATTTTATCAGAGACTAGGATTGCCACCTCTACTTTTTTTTGCTCTCCATTTGCTTGGTAAATATTTTTCCCTCCCTTTGAGTCTTATGTGTGTCTTTGCACATGAAATGGGTCTCCTGAATACAGAACATCAATGGTTCTTGGCTTTTTATCCAATTTGCCAGTCTTTGTCTTTTGATTGGGGCATTTAGTCCGTTTACATTTAATGTTAATATTGTTGTGTGTGATCTGATCCTGCCATTTTATTACTGGTTGTTTTGCCCTTTGGTTAGCATAATCTCTTCATTGTGTCGTTGGTCTTTACCATTTGGTTATTTTTTGCAGTGGCTGGTACTGGTTTTTCATTTGTGTTTAGTGCTTCCTTCAGGAGCTCTTGTAGGATAGATTTGTTAGTGACAAAATCTCTCAGGAAATGCTTGTCCATAAAGGATTTCATTTCTCCATCACTTATGAAGCTTAGTTTGGCTGGATATGAAATTCTGGGTTGAAAGTTCTTTTCTTTAAGGATGTTGAATATTGGCTTCCACTCTCTTCTGGCTTGTAGGGTTTCTGTTGAGAGATCTTCTGTGAGTCTGATGTGCTTCTGTTTGTGGGTGACCTGACCTTTCTCTCTGTCTGCCCCAATACTTTTTCCTTCCTTTCAACCCTGGTGAACCTGACGATTATGTGCCTTGGGGTTGCTCTTCTAGAGGAGTATCGTGGTGTTCTCCGTATTTCCTGTATTTGAATGTTGGCCTGCTTTCTTAGGTTTGGGAAGTTCTCCTGGATAATATCCTGAAGAGTGTCTTCCAGCTTGGATACATTCTCCCTGTCATCTTCCAGTACACCAATCAGGCACAGATAGGTCTTTTCATGCAATCCTGTATTTCCTAAAGGCTTTGTTCATTTATTGCCTTCTCATTTTATTTCATTGAGTTAATCTTCAATCTCTGATATCCTTTCTTCTGCTTGATCTATTCAGCTACTGAAACTTGTGTATGCTTCATGAAGTTCTTGTTCTGTGTTTTTCAGCTCCATGAAGTCGTTTTATGTTCTTCTCTAAGCTGGTTATTCTAGTTAGCATTTCATCTAACCTTTTTTCAAGATTTTTTTTTCTTTGCATTGGTCCTGCTTTGGTCCCTTGCTGGTTGGAAGTTGTGATCTCGTGGTGGGGGAAGAGATGTTCTTGGTTTTGATGGTTTCATTCTTGTGCTGGTTTCTTCCCATCTCTTGGATTTATATAGTTTTGATCTCAGGTAGCTGCTTGGGCGGTGGCCTTTCTTTTGCCTGCCTGCAGAGGCACTGCTGGACTGCCACAAATTCTGTGGAGCTGCTCTGTCTTTTATTTACTCAGGAAAATTAGGCCGGCTTTTGTCCATCCACAGATGAAGGGAAGAAGAAACTGCACTCAGTACTCTTCATCCATCACAAAATGATGGAATTTTCATTTGAAGCCATGCAGTGAACCTTGGAATGATGCTGAAAGATTACATATTCTCGGAGTACACAGGGTGGGTACTCGCACCTGCAGCTTCTGCTGGGGCAGCACAGAGGAGGTGGCCGAAGGACTTGGGGCCTCACACCACCATTCCTGGCCCAGCGTGCTTTCCCAGGGTGGTGCCTTGCCAAGCCAGCCACCTGCCTGCCAAAGGTCCCTTGTAGCAGGCAGGAGAATCGATATCTGAAGTTTTATTTGTCATACCCTAATCAAAATGTATCAGCACTGACAAAAATCCCTAAGAGGGAAAAATCAGACTTACTTAAGACTAAAATTCCTGAATTGTGATTATGAATTTAGTACTTTTATGTGGACATAAATGGTCATTCCTCAAAAGCCAAATAAAGCACAAGACAGAATATATAAAATTAAAAATTAAGAATTTATTTGTAAGTTTTCATCTTTTTAGAAATAAAAAGTTTTAAAAAACAAAATGGTTGAAAAAATGGTTAATTTTGTTATATCTTAATTGCTTAGGTGTGTTCTGTAAATTCAAAATAAGTAAAATAATATAAAAATACATATTCAAATCTTTATAGAACAAAAAGGAAACATTAATCATTAAATACTTTTGGATTTTCTTTACTCCTCCCACAGATGAGTTCACAAATATAAAAACTGGTGTACAATTATACTCTGAAGTACAAATCTCCAACAGTCAAGTAATTTAAGTTTCTTCTGTTATGTGCAAAGTAGATTATTTTGTATTTACTTGGTATGGAAAGCAGAGTACAGGCTCAGTGAACAATAATCATTAAACACAGTTTATGTTTAAGAAAATGCTGTTGTAAAAATGTACAATAGTACATATAATTTTGGTAATGATGCACTTCTCCTTTTAAAGTAAATACAGCTTTTAGATGTAAATCTTTCAGAGGTTTTCTTTGAAGAGCTGTGAGGTGACTATGTAATTTCAGATTTGATGAATAGTAATTTGTCAGTTATCTTCTCAAAAAACCAACCAAGAGAGAATTGTTTTCTTTTTCCCTCCACATGGTCAGTTTCTTAAGGAAGGGCTGATGCAGTAAGAAGATGCATTTTCACAAACCTCTACTACACAAGTTGTGATCTGTCAACTAAAGACACCACCTCTGATGTGGATGGGTTCATTCAATCCATGTTCGACCAACTTTATATCTTCTAGATCATCTTTAATGATGCTAATCAAATGGCTAAGGCCTTCCTGTTGTTGTTTCAAATGCTAGAACAAATTAAGAAACAACATAATGCATTAATGTATTAAAACTGCAAGCTAGTCACATGAAAAAGGATTCCACTTTGTTTTACTAGGAACACAGTAAGTGATCTAAATATAGAAGGCATGCATATTTAAACATTTGTAATACCTTTTGCTAACAGTGAAAGACAAACTTTAAAGAATGAAATCAAACAAATACATAATGAACAGTATCTTCCAACAAAAATGTTTTTTAGATAGCTATTTTATCAACTTTTGATAAAGGCATGATGATAGAACTCAAAGAAGGTATTCAAATATAGATGACTAGCAAAATAATATTCTGAAAACAGAATATTCATGTTTCGAACTACGAAGTACATAGTGATGATAATGGTGATGATGACTATGGATGCTAACATTCTTAAGACTCTTCCTTATCGGTTAAAGTGCTGTTTTAATAGCTTTACTGGTATTTACTCGCTTAACTCATTTAAAATCCTTCTGAGCACCCTTTGGGGTACTATTATTATCTCCACAGTTAAAGAAACTGAGACACAGGCAAATAACCTGTCCAGGGACATAAAGTAGATGGTAAGCCATGATTCAATCCCAAAACAATACACTGCTCATCCTTTATTCCCAGTTTTATCGCACATATCAACTCCATTTAATACAACTATTTATTACAATATACTGGAATCTGTTAATTTATTGAAAATACTTAAAACAATGGAATGTAATTGGTTGTGTGTATAATGTCCAAGAACCTAGAAGCCAAACTAGTTTTGGGTTGCACAATACCAGCATATTAATTCTAAAGCACATAATAAAATTGGATTTGTTGATGACATAACCTTAATCTAAAATCCTCAGGGTTATGCCAACAGTCATTAGCTAGCTAGTATATTCCACAAAGTTCATCATATTAATATATTTTCTTTAGACACAACTGTTCATTAAGCCAATATGCATTTATACTAATGAAAATAAGCCAAAGCAGTGTTTCTCAACTGTTTCACACAAGGTGAAAACCCTAGAAAAGTGGCTGGAGATTCTGGCCACCTCAACCTACCTCCATTCAGGTCGCCTGAGGACTTAAGGGCTAGATCAGTAACATGTTCACAACTTACATGCAGCAGATAGGCAGGGAAGGTATTATCTACAGCAGTTGCTTCTCAAACTTTAAAGTGCATACAAATCATTCTATGATCTTGATAAAATGCAGATTGAGTACATCTGGAATAACTGAAATTTTCCATTTCTAATGACCTCCCAGGTGCAGCTACTGCCTACACTTTAAGGAGCAAGGTCTAGGGAACTTTAGTGTCTCTACTACCTCTAAATTCGTGTTTTTGGCAAGGAGAGGGACAATTCACTTTTTAAAAATTGTGGCAAAACAGGCATACCATAAATTTTGCCTGTGACTATTTTTAAGTATACAGTTTAGTGGCATTAAGTACATTTATGCTGTTGTGCAATAATCAACACTATTTTGTTTAGAACTTTTCATCTTCTCAAGTTGAAATTCTGTACCAATTAACAGTGAGTTCCTTCCGTCCCCTCCTCCCCTCACACCCTGACAAACACCTTTCTACTCTCTATTAATTGGACTACTAGGTACTTTTCATAAGTGAATAAATATTTGCCCTTTTACGAGTGGCTTAATGAAGCATAACTTCAAAGTCAAATTGCATTGTAGCATGTGTCAGAATTTCCTTCTTTTTTTCAAGGCTGAATAATATTCCATTTTGTGTATATGTACTGTATTTTGTTTATTATTTGATTGACTCTTGGGTTATCTCCACATTTCGGCTATTAAGAATAATGCTGCTATGAACACAGTTGTACAAATATCTGTTTTGAGTCCCTGTTTCCAAGGTACTTGGGTATATATCCAGAAGTAGACCTGCTAGATCATATCGTAATTCCCTCATGCAACACTTACCTGCTTGATTTCTCTTAAAAGATCTGCATCTATGTAATACCTTTCTTCAGATCTGACTGCTCCAAAATGATTCTGCATCCTGATTTGAGACATCAGTTCATTTAGTCGGCCCTAAAAGTAAGACTAAGTCAAATTACAACTGCCGACAAAGACTTGTAAAAGAGAATGTTTTCTTTTGAAAGGATGGTTTCAAAACCATCTATTAAAAATTTCTATTTCTCTCTCTGTACATTATATTTAAAACACCAATGCTAGCCAAAAGTACCATGACTGAGTTTACTTTAGAAAGGAAGTTCTAATTGGTGATAACCAACACAAATTTAAAAACTTCCTGCTTGAAGATTACATAACATTTTGTCCACAGATCCACCTGAAACAAATTTTAGCATTACAGTCTTAGAAGTGGTTACCTTGAACTGAGTAGGTGCATTTAGTTCACCCTGTATTGTATCTAGCTGAACTCGCAACTGCTCTTCATCAGCCTGAATGGCATAACCACTCTTCCTTTGAATTTCCTGTTTGATTAGGACCTATACAAATAAAAACCAAATAGAATTAATTATCTCTTTTTAGTTATGCAAGTAATACTACAATTTGTTGCTGAAAGGAATCAGCGGAAAATTAACTAGGAGGGTTCAACAGTTCAAGATTTGAATCACGTTTCTGTCCATTTTAACTAGGCAAAAGTTATCAGGTAAGTACACTGATGTACACTTAATTGTTTGAGACAGGGTCTTGCTCTGTCTCCCAGGCTGAAGTGCAGTGGCTTAAACGCACCTCACTGGATCCTTGACTTCTGGGGCTCAAGAGGTCCTACCACCTCAGCCTTCTAAGTAGCTGAAACCACAGGTGTCCACAACTGCACCTGGTTAAATTTTTTAATTTTTTGTAAGGGTCTCGCTATGTTGCCCAGGTTTAAGTGACCCTCTACCCTTGGCCTCCCAGAGTACTGGGATTACAGGTGTGAGCCACTGTGCCCAGCCAACAATTTTCAAACTATGGTACAGCTTAAAAGCAGTACAAAAAAATAGGCAACATAATACTAGTTTCAGACATTTACTCACAGCCTTTCTAAATAAAGTGTTCTTTAAAGTTAAGTCTATAATATTTAAGTCTAAAAATTATTTCTTGGATTTTGAGATTACAAAAGCAAAATGTATTCTTTAAGAAACAATACAATGTAAGAATATAAAAGACAAATTTCCTCTCATATCCCCAAGACAAATAGTACTAACTGATGTTCATTCTCCTTTACCTTTCTCCTTGTTCCTACAGAAAGCACACATACACAGACCCGAAATAAAACCATACTTTATATATCACTCTGTGACATGCTTCCTTTGTTGTTGTTATTGTTTTGAGATAGGGCCCCACTCTGTTGCCCAGGCTGGAGTGCAGAGGCACGATCATAGCTCAATGCAGCATTGATCTCCTGGGCTCAAGCAATCCTCCCACCTCAGCCTCACAAGTAGGTGGAATTACAGGTGCTCACCACCATTCCTGGCTAATTTTTCTTTCTTTTTAGTAGAGATGAGGTCTCCCAGTGTTGCCTAGGCTGGTCTCAAACTCCTAAACTCAAATGATCCTTCTTCCTCAGCCTCTCAAAGTGCTGGAATTACAGGTGTGCGCTACCATGCCGGGCTGCTTCTATTTCTTTTCAACTTAACAATACATCGGGAGAAAGGGTCTAATGCAGTGGCCTCTAAAGGCAGACTTATGGTTTGCTGCTGTTCTCCAAGCCCAGCTTACTCTGTTAAAAACAGTGCAAGTCCCTCCATACTCTCATCCATGTTCCTACAACTGTATCTTTTTCATAAACACACACACACTGACTCCATTTTGCTCATCTAAATTTAAAAAAAAAAATGATTATATGTATAATTAACAAAATTTAATTTTATTATAAATTAAAATTATAATTTTATTATCAAAATCTCATGAAATTCCTTAAGTATAGCTCTAATTTGTTTTTTTTAATGGCTGCATGCTTTTTTAATGTATTAACCAATAATCAATCATTATTGTCTTGATGGATATACATTTTGTTTTCACTACAAACAATGCCATAATAAATATTTTTGTAGGTTTGACTCTATAAACAATGCTATAAACATTTTGTAGCTTTGACACTACAATGCTATAAACATTTTTGTACATATATCTATTTAGCTGGTATAGATCTTTAAGGCTGTTTTAAAGTATGTACATTTTCAGTTCTAAAGCTGCTAGATTGCTTTCCTAAGAGATCCTAATGATTTAGATTCATAAGCCACACATCAGTATATCCTTTCCCCACATTCCTATCAACAACAGGTGGTGGTGTTTCTTTAAATTTTTCCCCACCTGATGAGTGGAAAGGGATGTCTTTTTTTTTCTTTATTCTGCAATTCCCAGATTCCTAGTAAATTAAAGGGAGCATCCTTTAATGATTAAGAACTATTTTGCATTTGCTTTTTCTGTGAACCACCTTTATACATCTTTTGCCCCCATTTCAATTGGGTTTTATTGTCAAATTATAGGATCTCTTTGTATGAATATTAATGCCACGGGTAAAATCAATGCTGTTTGCAAAATTTCCTTTTCCTAAACTTTATCACCTGATTGTTGAAAAATGGCTTCTGGTATCTTTTGCTATACACAATTTTTTATGTGGCCAATTTTGGTTTATAGTTTCTGGCTTTCTGATCAAGTGTCTTTCAATCCCAGACTATACATACAGATTAGAAGGTTTCTTAAAGTCTTTAGTCCACTTTATTTGTATATGATGCAATGGTCTAATTTTATTTTCTTCCTTATGGATAGTTATACTCCAGCATTATTTATTAAATAAATCCACTATTAAATTTGCAGCACACTTGCATCTATTTGTAAATTCTCTATTCTGTTCCATGTGTCTTTCTGTCCAATCCCATGCAAATGTTACATGGATTCCATTACGAGAGGTTTAAAATAGGTTCTGAAATCTGGTAAAGAAGTCCCCTTCACTATTTCTTTTTTGTTCCTAAACAAGCTAGTCTCGAACACTTACTCTTCTTTACAAACTTAAAGAAATTTTAGTCAAAAATTTTTAAGAGACAGAGTCTCACCATGTCACCCAGGTAACAGGTGCAGTGGCTATTCACAGGCACAATCGTAACTCACTACAGCCTCGAATTACTGAGCTCAAGTGATTCTTCTGCCTCAGCATTCTGAGTAGCTGTGATTATAGGCACCATGTCATCACACCCAGCTTAATCAATTTTCAAAAAGCTGTAATTCATTTTTAATTTTGTAAAGTGGATATTAAGTATTCTCATCTAAGAATATAGTTTTATTTGTAAATACCTGTATTTTCCTCATAAATATATTCCTGAGTATTTTACAATTTTGTCACCATACTGAATGGAAGATTTTCGTATTTCCAAATAGTATAAAGAAAAGCTGATTTTTGTACTTTTATATCTAGCCAGCTTACTACACTAATTCTATGGTATTCCCTTGGGTTTTCCAGATATACAATCATATCAGCAAAAAGAGATCACTTAACAATTTTCCCAATGTTTGTATTATTTCTTTGCTCGTTATATTTATGAAAACCTCCAAGATAGCAATGAATAATGATGATAATATTGGGTATCAGTGTCTACTTTCTAAATATGATTTTAGTGTTTTGCCTTTTTGAGTATTTGCTATTCATTTTTGGTTTCAGTCTATATTTTCCATTAATGTGTTGCTATATAATAAGTCATGTTGATAGATGTCCTGTTAATAAGACCAACCCTGCAATCCTGAAACAAACTTTACTTGGTCAAAGTATGTTTTTTAAGAATTTGATAAATAGCTGGATTCTCTTTGCTTATACTTTATTTAGAATTTGATTTTTTCTGATTTGAGATATACTCCACATACAATTCACCTGTCTTAGGTGTATGAATTTGGTAAATACAGTCGTGTAACCACCACCATGATGGTTACAGGATACTTCCATCACCCCAACCTCCTTGTAGTCACATTTCTCTCTTCATCTATAGCTCCTGGTAACTACTAATCTGTTATCTGTCCTTAATTTTCTTTTGTATAATGTTATATAAATAGAATCATGCCTTATATAGCCTTTAAGTCTGGCTTTTTTCACTTAGCATAATTTGCATGTCTTTAAAATAAATAGCTGTTTGCAATTTCTTTTTTTTTTTGAGGTGCTGCAAACAAACAGAAATGTAAAATGATACAGCTGCTTTGGAAAACAGTTTGGTAGTTCCTCAAAAAGTTAAACATAGTGTCACCATATGACACAGCAATTTCACTCCTAGGTTTACACCCAAGAGAAACAGATGTCCACAAAAATACTTGAAAATAAATTTTAATAGCAATATTATTTATAATAGCCAAAAAGTAGAACCACCAAAATGTCCATCAATTGATGAGTAAAATGTGGCATAATCACATGATGGAATATTATTCAGCAATAAATGAATAATACATTTACTGGTACCTGAAGTACTATTACATACCACAAAACAGATAAACTTTGAAAACACTATGCTAAGTATAAGAAGCCAGTCACAAAAGACCATCTATCATATGATTCCATTTATATGAGGTTTCCAGAACAGGCAAATCTATGGAGGCAAAACTGGTTGTGTGAGCCCGACAGATGTGCAGTGAAACCGGGAAGTGACTGACAATGGGTATAGGATTTTTTTTTTTTGAGATGGAGTGTTGCTCTGTGACCCAGGCTGGGGTGCAGTGGTGCAATCTCAGTTCACTGCAACCTCCGCCTCCTGGGTTCAAACAATTCTCCTGCCTCAGCCTCCCGAGTACCTGGGCCTGCAGGTGCATGCCACCATGCCTGGCTAATTTTTAGTATTTTGAGTAGTGACGGTATTTCACCGTGTTAGCCAGGCTGGTCTTGATCTACTGACCCCATGATCCGCCTGCCTCAGCCTCCCAAAGTGCCGGAATTCCCCTTGTGAGCCACCAGGTATGGGATTTCTTTGTAGGGTGATGAAAATGTTCTAAAATTGATTGTGGTAATAATGGTTATATAAGTCTCTGAATACACTAAAAACCACTGAATTGTACCCTTTTCATGAGTGAATTGTATGGTAATGCAAATTATATTTCAAACTGAAAAAAGAACAAATGAGGAAGCTATATACATTATTCCTTAATTGTCTGGAATAATTAAAATAACACTGGAATTAGCTCTTTAGTGGTTAGACAAAATTCGGCAACAAAACTATCTGTCCTTGAGGCCTTTTTCAGGTTTCACCTTTCATTTTTCCAGCTGCTTCTATGGTATTTGTTTAGTTCTCTGTAGATTAATTTGGATAATTTTTATTTTCATAGAAAAATCAAAATAAAACTTCCTCTGAGTTCCAAAATTTGTTACCCTAAAGTACATGCAGTATCATCATTTTTTTTCTTTTTTGTGAGATGGAGTCTAGCTCTCTTGCTCAGGCTGGAGAGCCATGGTGTGATCTTGGCTCACTGCAACCTCCACCTCTCAGGTTCAAGCAATTCTCATGCCTCAGCCTCCCAAGTAGCTGGGACTACAGGTGCACACCACCACGCCTGGCTAATTTTTTCTATTTTAGTGGAGATGGTGTTTCATATGTTGTCAAGCTGGTCTCAAACTCCTGAGCTCAGGCAATCTACCCACCTCGGCCTCCCAAAGTACTGGAATTACAGGCGTGAGCCACAGAGCCCAGCCCATACAGTATCTTCTTATTCTGTTTTGTATCTTTATCATGATGTCTCTTTTCTGACTACTAATTTTATATATTTTGCTCTGTTTTTCCCTTCTTCTGGCTGATGAGATGCTTAGCGATTTTAATGGTCTTTTCAAAAAACAGTTTTTCAATTTATTCTTTCCATTATTACTTTTTTTGGTCTTTCACTGATTTCACATTTATCGTTATTTTTTAGTTTCTTTTGGCTTATCTTGATAATCCTTTTCTAATTTAACATGAATACCAAGTTCCTTTATTTTTCACATTTGATTTTTTAAAATCAGACTTGTTTACGGCTGTAAGTTTTCCTCTGAGTACAACGTTTGCTGTTTCCCATTGATTCTGGTATGCAATATTTCTGTTTTCATGATAGTTTATAATTTCAGTTTTTGTTATTATTCTTTTAATTCCTCCTGTTAATTTGGAAATTCTATTATTGTTTTTCAACCATTACAGTTACACTCCCTTTTCTAGCACTCAAAATCAAAAATGTTTCTTAACTATTTTATGAAATTTATGAGACATCAGTGCTCTCACAGAAGCTTCTCTTGGACTAAGATGCTGCATTTCGTCAGTGCTTTCCCTCAAACTCTCACTAAAATATGAATTTTAGGATGTCTTTATTCTCCTCACTCAACCCTATGAGATCTGTTTTCCAATTTCAAAGTTTTACTGAAAAAGTTTGGTACTCCTAGTTTCACAATGTTATTATTTCATTTTAGTCTGTTGTTTTCTGTTACAAAAATCCATGTTCACCACATTATTTCACACACATAGCCTTATAAACACTGGTGAAAAAAATGCAAATTACTACCTGTAAAGTTCTATGGGAAAGATCCATGAGTTTCCTCTTGTATTGTGCAATTTTGGCTACAGATGTAGTTTGATTCTTTTGTAGCTCACTAATATCTTCAGATATGATCTGTTTAAAAAAAAATTGGGGAGGGGTGTAAATCAAATATCACAACTATTTATGAGTTACACCTGTTTGGAAATTCTAGTCTTGGAATAGGCCCGAGATTCATCCCTCAAAATAAACTCTTTTCCTGTAAATCTGTGCTTATATTTCTTCCCTTTTTACATACCTAAAATGTTTTTAAAAGAATCATGCAAGATATCTTTAGAGCTCTAGGAAATTTAGCAATGAAGCAATATATAGAAAACATAAGCCAGGCATGGTGGCTTACTCCTGTAATCCAGCACTTTGGGAGGCCAAGGCAGGCAGATTACTTGAGATCAGGAGTTTGAAACCAGCCTGGCCAACATAATGAAATCCCATCTCTACTAAAAATACAAAGAATTAGGTGGGCATGGTGGCATGAGCCTGTAATCTCAGCTACTTGGGAGGCTGATGCAGGAGACTCGCTTGAACCCAGGGGACGGAACTTGAAATGAGCTGAGATTGTGCCACTGCCCTTCAGCCTGGGCGACAGAGTGAGACTCCATCTCAAAAAAAAAAAAAAAAAGGAAAAAACTAGGCTGGGCACAGTGGCTCACTCCTGTAATCCTAGCACTTTGAGGGGCTAAGGTGAGAAGAATGCTTGAGACCAAGGTTTTGAGACCAGCGTGGGCAACATAGCAAGACCCTGTCTCTATACAAAATAAAAAATTAGCCAGATACAGTGCTGCATGCCTGTAGTCCCATCTCCTTAGGAGGCTAAGACGTGAGGATCGCTTGAGCCCAGGAGTTTGCGGTTGCAGTGAGCCATGATCATGCCACTGCACTCCAGCCTGGTCAACAGAAAGAAAGAGAGAGTGCAAGACCAATCGAACTATTTCAGAAGGAAAAAAAAAAAACACATACTTCAGAAATAATTAAGGAATTTGAAGTAATATGGAAAACAGCCAACAACCAGGCCTGAATGGAAAAAATAAGATGACATCTAGAGGGTGTCTTAACAGACAATTAGCTGTGTATATAACTACTGATACAAAGTACAGTACATTTCAACATTACAGAATACCTGGAGGGAGTAATCAGAGTGGAGAGGAAAAGGAATGATACTGATGATACAACAGGATACATTTTTATGCCTCTAGATCTTTGACTTGCTGTTTTACCTGGCTGAAATCCCACTATTCTGCCTTAGGAAGTCTTAATCTTACAGGCTAGGTTAAAATCTCGCTATTTCATTAAAGCATCCCAATCAGAATTAATCCCATAATTGTCTCTACCATAATTAATCATTCTATGCCACTGGTTTATTCAACATGTCATAAGAGAGAGGATAAGAAGATGTGTAAGACATATTCTAGAACATCTACCTGTGCACATCACCTCTTAAATAAACTTTCCAATGCCAGGCCATGCCGAAAGGACAAAATTAGGTCATCATATTACATATTACATAACCTCGGCAATCTGCCCATCCCAAGTTTGAAAAATCAGCAGGGTTTTTAGATGTAAGAATAATTATGACATTATTTTCTACAAGTAATAACCAAAAAAATCAGTCATGTTACCAGCCACAGTATTTATTAACAAATACTAAAACCATCTAGAAATTGATCCAAGAAAGAATGCACAAGATTTTAAAAGGGGATATTTAAAAGTTATCTCAAAGGACATAAAAAACCAGAATGATTAAAGAGACACACCATATTCATGGATGAAATGATTTAATATTAAGATTCAATTCCCACAAATTAGTCTTTGCATTTAATGCAATTCCAACCATAATTCTAGCACTCTGGACAAATTGATTCTAAAGTTTTTATGGAAGAATAAAGATCCATAAAGACAGAAAACTTTGAAAAGAAGAACAAAGATTAGAGATTCATTGTACTAGATATTAAGATACACTACAAAGCCATAAGAGTAAAGAAAAAAAAAAAAGTGGAATGAGTATAAGAACAGACCAGCTGGCCACTAAAACATAAGAGAGGGTCTAGAAATAGATCACATATATGTACGAAAACTTAGCATAATTAAAATTCTTTGATAAATCATTGAGGAATATCAAATTTTATATGAGCAATATTAAAAATAGGGACCCACTATTTAGAGAAAAATATATCTGGGTTCATACCACATACTTCATATAAAGTAAACTCCATGATGACAACAAAAGACTCAAATGTGAAAGGTTAAATTCTAAAAATTTTTTTAATGCAGGAGACTCTCAGACTTTGGGATGAAAAATTAGGGCAGAGTTAACAGAGAGATGAGAAACTAGAAGATACTTACAATGTTATAAACAAATAGGGACTAAAATCTAGGACAATTACTGAAGTTCAGTAAAGAAAACATAGGAAGCCCAATGGAAACACTGGCCAAAGATATGAATGATTTCAGTTCCAGACAAGATGGACTAAGCATATGCAACCCTAATCTCTCCCATTTAATATAGCTATAAAACTTGGATGGAATACATGGGGCAGCTATTTGAGTACTCTGGCAGGAAGAACAGGAAAGATATAAAGTACCATGTAACTGGTGGTGAGTTTACCCATTTTTTTTCCCCTCAGGCATCCCTAGTCTGGTTTCAACCAGCCTCAACCCTGGAAATGAGCATAAATGCTGAAAAGGAGCTCCAAGAAAAGCCTGGTAGTTCTAGTGGGAAGAGAAACATCATATTATCTAGTGAAAGGTTTCTCAACTTCAGCACTGTTAATGTTGAATAATTCCTTATTGTGGGAGTACTGTTCTGTACACTGTAGAATGTGGGCAGCATCTGGGCCTCTACACATTAGATGACTGCAGCACTCCCCAACCAAGAGTCTCCAGACATTGCAAAATGTGCTCTGGGAGACAAAATCACCACCACCACCACAAGCCACTACTAAGAAGTACTGCTCTAAGACTTGAGATGATAATAAAATGAAATGCTAAAGAAAAGTGCAAATAACCCAAAAGAAGGCAGAAAAGAGGAAACAGGAATGAAAAACAGAGATTGCAAACACAAAACAAATAATAAAATGATAGGACTAAATCCAAACATCATGCTGTCTGCAAGAATCTTCAAATATAGTGGTATAGGTAGGTTAAAAGCAAAAAGATGGACAAAGGTATGCCATACCAACACTTTTTATTAAAAAAAGTAGCGTAGCTATGTTAATTTCAGACAAAGACTTTAGAGTGTCTAAGTGTCCATCAACAGATGGATAAAGAAAACATGGTGTGTATGTGTATACATATATACACATACAATAGAATACTATTTAATCATGGAAAAGAATGAAGTGCTGCCATTTGCAGCAACACAGATGAACTTGGAAGACATTTTAAGTGAAATAAGCCACACATAGAAAGATAAAGCCTGCACATTCTCACTCATATGTGGAAGCTAAAAAAGTTGATTTCATAGAAGTGAAGAGTAGAATAGTGGCTACGAGAGGTAGAGAAAGAGTAGGAATAGGCACTGCCAAAGGTTGCTTAACAGATACAAAAGTACAGCTGGATAGCAGGATTAAGTTCTAGTGTTCCATAATACTATAGGTAACTATAATTCACAACCATTTATTGTATTTCAAATAAGTATAGGAGTGAATTTTCAATGATACCAACAAATCATAAATATTTGGGGTAATGGATATTCTAATTACCCGTATTTGATCATTACACGCTATATGCATGTATTGAATTATCACACTATGCCCCATAACTATGTAGTTATATGTCAATTAAAAATAAAAGAAAAAAGCCATTAGAGGAATTAAGAGGGATATGATATAATAATAAAAGGTAAATTAGCCAAAAAAAAATCCTATATAAGTCCTTCAGACTATTAATACATGAAACAAAAACTGAGAAATGAAAGGAGAAAAACACAAATCCATTAAGTGTAGCTGTAGATTTCAACTCTCTTTCCCAACTAACAAACAGAAAAATTAACAATACAGAACTAAATACTATCAACCAACTGGATCTCACTGACATTAATAGAAAACTTCACCCAGGAACTGCAGAATACACATTACTTTCATAGGCTCCTGGGTTATAAGACCTTAGCAAAGTTAAAAGAATTGAAATCATATAAATTTCTCTGACCTTTAAGAATATTTAATTATGAAGGTCTACTTTTTTTTGGACAAAGTCTTACTGTGTCACTCAGGCTGGATTGCAGTGGCATGATTTCTGCTGACTGTAACCTCTACCTCCCAGGTTCCAGTGATTCTCATGCCTCAGCCTCCCAAGTTGCTAGCATTACAGGCATGTGCCACCACACCCAGCAAATTTTGGTATTTTTTAGTAGAGACTAGGTTTCATCACGTTGGCCAGGCTGGTCTTGAACTCCTGATCTCAAGTGATCCACCTGCCTTGGTTTCCGAAAAAAGTCTACTTTATGAAATAAAATATTAAGTATATTTAAGTATTAAGTAATTTTAAATTTGCTTCATCAACATACAACAATATAGCAAGACAATTATATGTTATGTCAACATAAAAAATCATAATTATAACCTTCATTTTCACAAGGCCCCATAAATAATAATATGTAATCCTTGACTAAAACTAGAAACACAGTTTAATTAATCCACTAAGCCAAGAATTCTAAATTCATTATTCTATCAAATCAGATTCATATGATTTGGGGACTTCTATCATAAAGAAGGTAGTTGTATAAAACTGTCTAATTATTAATCTATAGCGTATGCTACATTGTTTCCTATAAAATAGTAGCACACATAGTAAAAAGAATTAAATGTCTTTAATCCTTTTCCCTACTTCCAGGGCCAGAGAATGAAAAGCTAAATGCTTACATCTAATCTGGTTTGATGCTGCTTAGTCATCTGATCTTGAACCTTCAGTCTTCGGAGGAGTTCCTTAAAACCCACCATTGGTACAGGAATTAACCTGAAGAAACGCAGTGAACAATTTTCAGATCTTAAGCCTATTACTACAAAATTCCAGAAGTTAAGGTTTTAATAATAACGTTCATGTAATTTTACATTAGCTTTCTAGAGCTCTAAGGCAGATCTACTATGCCTATGAGATAACCATGTTACACCAAAGAGATTTTATTCAACCTTTGTATTTTACAAATGAGGAAATATAGTTCAGTCAAAACATTACATTATTAAATGCAAATGCAATTAGATTTTTCCATTCCTAGTTAGTTCTCACTATGCTATGCTGCCTTACCATAATCTTTTTTTTTTTTTCTTCTTAATTTTTTTCTTTTTGTTTTGGCTGAAGCTTTAGCTGGACAATAATTTTTTTTTAAAGCAATGAAAATAAACTTGCCTCATATGTAAGAATTATAATTAATAGCTCTTATTTATTTGCTCCCCTAGTAGCAAATATTAGTTCTTATATGAAAGAAGATGAAGACATACTTACTTTTCAGAATCAGGGTTATCTACCTTGGCCTGTTCCCAGATAATAGGATCAACACCTACCACAAATAAAAAATATTTTTTCTAAAACAATTTTCTGTTTTTATAATGTGTATGACAAAGGCTTTCCTATAATAAGACCCTAAACCCAGAAGCTATAATGAAAAGTCAAATATGATAATGGTAAGAATACACATTTTTGCAGAATAAATAAAGCTCAAAAAAAGTACAAACCGAAAGGAAGAATCTATAACTTATAGGATAATAGATTAACCTCCAAAATACAGAAAGAGTTCCTATAAGTCAAAAAGAAAGACAAAAAATCTAGAAAACGGGCAAAGGACACAAATAGATAACTCACAAAAAATACAAATGTAGCTAATAAACATAAGATAATTAATTTTGAAATTAATTATTTTGCCACCAGTGACCAGAAAAATAACATTCCTGTTATGAATGTAATGGTAGAACTTCCCTGGAAGGCAATTAATATCTAACATACACCATATGGACTCAAAAATTTCATTACCAGAGATCTATTCTAAAGAAATACATACCAATGTGTTCTAAGACATGTTTACAAGGATGCTGTTAATTACTGCATAGTTTTTAATAGTGAAAAGATAGAAAACAACTTAGAGGTGCTAAGTAACGGTGTATCTGTGGAATACTATGCAGTGTTAAAATAGAGTAAGATTTATCTTCACATGTTGACATGAAAAGTACTAAGAAATACTGTAAGTGAAAAGGCAAGCTGCAGATGTATATGCAGAATCCTTTTTTAAAGGACCTACATGTAAATATGCTTACATTTCAAATCACAGATAAAGTATTAAACAGAGTACCATAAACTGATAGTAGTTACTTCTGGGGAAGGGAGGTAAAGGTAATCTATCACACAGTCAATCCAGTTATGCCATCCAGAATATTTTACAGTAACAACATGTTCAGGTTTTACTTGAATATTCAGTTAAAATGAGATAAATTAGAAAAAAAAAAACCAAAATTTTACTAGTAAATTACCTTTAGGTAGATGGATTATGGACTATTTTTCTTCAGTTCATTATTTCTCAAAATTTCTATTTTAACATATACATATTAGCTATATAATAAAAAACTAAATGAATGAATACATACAAATATTCAAAACTATTCCCAAATAAGTGGATATGTGATGACTAGTTTTATTAACCTTAATAACCAACTAACATCTCTGAAACAGGGGGAGTACTTATTTCTAAATTTTTTTTAACTCTGTGATTCTAGAAACATACCAGCAGGAGGATTCTGTAAAAGCTGTTTGATCTGTGCAGGAGAAAGTTCTGTTCTAGTCATAGAAAGGGTTACACCAAGTTGCTGCAACTGTGTTTTTATATTGGCTTGTTCAAAATGGGCATATAGTGTTGTAGCTGGAACTCTTCTTGAAGTACCATTTGGTGAACGCTCAACAACATAAATGACAACTTCTGTCCTGAAGAAAGAATAACCAATTTATAAAATATGGAGCACAAAACTCACAGCCACAAACTTCAGCATAGCATGTGATTTCAGAAGGGTATAAGTTGAATTCAGAGATGGTTGTTTTAGGAGGCAATTAAAATGTTGGTTTTTTTTTTTTTTGAGCAAGGTTTGCTCTGTTGCCCAGGCTGGAGTGCAGTGGCGTGATCACTGCAACCTCAATTTCCCAGGCTCAAGCAGTCCTCCCACCTCAGCCTCCAAGTAACTGAGAATACAGTTGCACACTGCTACATTAAGCTAATATCTATTTATCTATATATTTTTTTATTTTTGAGAGATGGAGACTCGCTATGTTGCCTAGGTTAGTCTCAAACTCCTGGTCTCCAGTAATCCTCCCACTTCGACCTCCCAAAGTTCTGGGATCACAGGCATGATAAGCTGCTGTACCCAGCTGTTTTCTTCTTAAATCTTGGAAAATAAGAAAGTTTTACTTAATGTAATGTTCATTTACAAAGCAACTTAAATGATAAAATTAAAATGAGCCAGGTAAATATGAAAATATTTGTAAAGGGTTTTGCTTAGCTGCAAAATTCTATGTAAATGTTATTTATTATAGGAGATTCTGAAATTTATGAGTTGCTTCCCTGCAATTAAGACCACAAGTAAAATCTGATTCAATTACTGCATCTCATTAATAATCATTCTTCCAAATATCCTAAAACAAATGTCTTGCCACTAAGATTGAGAATTATACTTAGGTCAAGGGAAATAACGCAATAATATTTATCCATGAATGAACATGAACAGTAATCAGTTGACATTTTCCAATAATGTCTTTGTGGCCCTCAATTTGCACACAGCTATGACAAATGGTCCCTTCCTGGCCTGAATGAAAATCTAGAAAATTATTATCATCTAATAAGTTTAAAAATCGAAAATTTTAAAAAAGCTTTCAAGTAAATGTTTTTATAAATATTGAATAATCACTAGCTGAGAAAAGGCATTCTGCTCTGAGATTTAATTTGTGCGTTAGCAACAAAAACATTATTGATCACTCTCTTTGGACCATAAATAAATACACCGAAATAGAGTATATTTATGTATACTTACTGATCATCTGGCAATGTTTTAGTGCCCTCTACATTTACAGTAAGGGTCTGGTTTCCTCCCAAAACTTTATGCAATGATTCTACCAACTGTTGTTGTTGACTTCGAATCTCTGTTTCTTTTTTGTTGAAAACTAAAACCACTAGCCCATCTTCATCCTTATTACTGGGCATGCAACTATAACCTACTGCCTGTGGAATGACAAAATAAACAATATAAAACATATGTACAGATCTTAAATCTGGTGCTTAATATCAATAGCTTAATATCTGCTAAAATGCAAAAACAACTTAATGTCTGGTAATGAGGGGAATAATGATTCTTTCCACCATTTTGTGCCCTAGGAGGTCATAAAATTATAAAGAGAAACTCTTTTATCCAGGAATAACATAAATTTATAGAGTTAAATTAAGATTTCCTCTTTGAAAGAGTAACTAAAGAGCTTTCTCCCTAAAAATTTTGATATTCATTACTGTTGGTTGTTTCTGAACCATATGCATGCCATTATAAAAGTGACTGCAAAAATCAACGAGTAATTCTAATTTATTTCACTATACAGATGGTTCCCAACTTATGATTTTTCCATTTTATATGGTGTAAAAGCAATATGCATTTAGTAGAAACCAAACATAAAATTCTTTTAGTTTTTATTATAAAACTGTTATTAATATTATTATAAGATAGACTTGGCGTTACATTATTCTGGCCAATTGTACACTAATGTTTAAGTGTTCTGAGCATGTTTAAAGTAGGCTAGGCTAAGCTATGATGCTTGGTACGTTTAGGTGTAGTAAATGCATTTCTGAATTACAGTACTTTCAATTATGATGGGTTTACTGGGATGTAACCCATCATAAGTTGAGGAGTATCTATATATCTGATTCATGGAATTTTAAACTAAGTTTTAAATATATAATGAACTAATTTACAAATAAATACTTTGAATCACAGTAATGACACTGCCAACTTACAAATACCATAAAGAATGTCTATCACTTTGTTTATATAATACAAAACTTTATGAAACAGGCATTTTTTTACCTAGTAATATGACCAATTATACTTTTCTAAAGAATTACTCTTTTAGCTAGAAGCCTTTTATCCCTTTGCATACTTATATGCAACTTTTAAAACAGAATTTAAATTAACTCAAGTGTACATTATGCATTTTACATTATACAGGAACTTTAAAAAAAGAAAAAAGTTTAAATTGTTACATTCAGCTTATGTCTATTATTGAATATCTCTTAGACTAAATAAATCTATCACAATTTCAACTACATGCACTCAATATACTTTTTGTTAGTGAAGACAAAGAGATATTCTGTAACGAGACAGGCTGACCACTTTAAGGGTGTGATCCTCAGCCTTACAGCTCCCAACACAGGGTTACGTACACACTGATTAGGTTTAAGAGACCAACTAGGCAGATGTAACTCATAAGGCTGAGGTATAAACTGGATTGCAATACATAATTTGTTATGTAAAATGCATTACCAAATGAACCTAAATACTCTCACAGGCTGATAAACAGATGTTCTGAAGAGACAAATGAGACTGTTTGGTAGGCAAGGAATAAGAACAAAGAAAATGGGCAATATTGTTTTAATAGCTGTGGGATTATACATGCCAAGGGGAATTCCTGTCTGCTAGTTAGGGTATACTTTCCTGGCCAGTGTTAAATGAATACCACTAAATTCTAGTTTGGTGGCTTCCCTTTATAGGTGCCAAGCAAACCATTCTCCTGTTTACATTTTTTTTCTTCAGTTATAAATCACATTCTAGTCACACCTTCCTTTAGTCATACTCTGGTCACCTTTAATCACACATATGTAAGAAATTACTTCAATTTTATAATTTCTATATTTTCAAAACAAAAGCATAAACATACCATGTTCAAGGAGAAAAGACCCCAGCAATTGTTATCTTGATATTAATTTAATCTAAATATATCTTCTGTTATACATATTCTTTAATTGAAGACAAAAACAGTATTAATAATACCTTAAATCGGCAAAAGGGATTTTCTTGTGTGAATTCCACTGGCGGAATATTATTGTTGAAATACCCTTTTCCTGTTCCCCAAAAGGCCTGCAGTTGATTCCATTTTGCCAAAATAGCATCTCTCTCATCTCCCAATAGCGTTGGAGCAGAAAGAGCACTTGCAGTATTTATCAGTTGGTTAGATTGGGTAGGAGCTTGTGTAGGCTGACTGAAGAGACCACCTAATGCTGAAAAGGTACCCAAAATTAGTATTTTAAAAAAAACAAAACAATCCAGATCCTAGGCATAGTAGGCAAAATAATGCCACCCCCCCCAAGATGCCCACATCCTAATCTACAGAATCTATAAATGTGTTGTCTTACATAGTAAAAGGGCCTTAGTAGATGTGATTAAATTAAGCATGTTGAGAAAGAGGGTTATTCTGGGTTATCAGGATGAACTCAACCAGAAGATTCTCAAAAGTGGAAGAGTGAGTTCAGAGTCAAACAGATCTGAAGATGCTATGCTGTTAGGATATGGCAAGATAAAAGGAGCTGCAAGCTGAGAAATGCATGAAGACTCTAAAAACTGGAAAACACAAAAGAATGGATTCTCCCCTAGAGCCTCTAGAAGTAACACAGTACTGCAAAGACCTTCATTTTAGCCCATGAAACCCATTTCTGGACTTTTAATCTCCAGAAACTATAAAACAATAAACTTTCATTGTCTTAAGCTACTAAGTTGGTGGGAATTTGTTATGGCAGCAATAGGAAACTAATACACTAGGACAAAGCTTATAACATTAAACTCGCTTTTCTAAAATATTTTTTCTTGAGACAAGGTCTCGCTTTGTTGCCTACGCTGGAGTGCACTGGTAAGATCACAGCTAACTGCAGCCTCAACCTTTTGGGCTCAAGCATACCTCCTGCTTCATCATCCTGAGTCGCTGGGACTACAGGAGTGCACCAACATGCACCTGGTTAATTTTTTTAAATTATTTTTTGTAAAGACAGGGTCTTACTATGTTTCCCATGCTGCTCTCAAAACTTCAGAGCTCAAGTGACCCTCCTGCCTCAGCCTCCCAAAGTGCTGAGATTACTGTGTTCAGTAATCTCAGACATGAGCAACTGTGCCCAGCCCTAATCCAAATTAAGTCCATTACCAGAACACAAATTGAATCCACATTATTAAACCCACCACACAAAAGAAAGAGAGAGGAGAGTGAAGAGACGAGATGGGGGAGGCGAGAGAGGGGAGGAGGAGAGAGAGAGAGAGGAAGGGAAAAAGTCTATGTGGATAAAGAAAGTTTGTAAAGATGTAGAATTAAACAACCTTTATTGCTATTTGTATAATAAATATAAATTGGGGGATACGAAGTAAGCTTAAAAATCATTGTTATATCAATACCAGCTTACTAAACATTTTCCTTTCTCTTATTGTTAAAAAACATATACAGTAGTAACAAATGGATTGACCATCAGTATTCTAGCCTGAAACTTTAGATGGCTGTGTAACTTTGGGCAAATCAGTTAACCTCTCTGGGATACCAATTTCTTCTTCTTTTTTTTTTAATTGCATTTTAGGTTTTGGGTTACATGTGAAGAACATGCAAGATTGTTGCATAGGTACACACTACCAATTTCTATAATGTAAAGAAGGGCCAAGTTCTTAGGGTAGATCAATATTTCCCAAAGTGTGAGATAAGTATGTCATTTTTTAACAAAGGGAGGAGAAAGTCCAAGGCTCAGAACTTAAGGCAAAGGTATCTACCTACAATTTATTAACACTATATTTTCTTTGTAATTAATTTCAATTACCTTTCCTTACAGCAAATACTAGTTTTCTACTTACAGCAGCAAGGTAAATTTTACTTTAAATTAACTGTATTTAGTGTTTCTATGTAAACTGATTTAAAGAAAATTCTTAAATAGTAATACAAATGGTATGCAGATAAAAAGAAAATATGAATACCAAAATGTCCTGAGTTTTAAAACACTGTATTAGATATTATTTAAGTTCTCTTTCAGCTCTAAACATTGAAAGTACCACAAGGTCATGGGGCTTCTATAGGGTTAGAGAGAGGCTCTTTTACTCTCCAGAAAAGTATTAATTCCCAAATGAGTATATATAAACATTGGAAAGCACTGGACTAAAACTCAAAACACTTGAATGCTGCTTTATTATAAGCTCACTTTCTACCCTTGACCAAGAAATTCCTGGGCTTTATCTTCAACTTCTAAATGAGATTAATCAACTGTGATCTCTATACTGAGACATACATAGTTGGCCTCCCCTGTTACACGTCACACTGAATTATGACTGAACCAGTTTACTTAAAGTTCACTAGCTGGAGGTCATTGAACTCAAATTATGAAATCCAACAGACTCTTTTCAAGACAGAATAATATTCGACTTCTTGTACTTTCCTATCTTTTCAGAGCCCTCCTGCTGCTGCTTATTCCTTAAGCCCCCAAAAGAAAATCTTCAACTTCTGTTGAATATATTTCGTTCTTGAAAGCCCTTCTCCCTTACATTTCCTGGTAATACAGTCTCTCTTTTTCAAACATATAAACACATTCATTCATTCACTCACCATTAATTCATACAACAAATATTTACTGGGTACCCACTAAGTGCTCAGAGCTAAATATTAAAGATACAGTGGTAAATAAGGTGGACAAGATTCATTAAAGAAAGCGAACACATCAAACAATAATGTTAACAATTGTTATAAGTCCTTCAGAGAAGTACAGAGGTTCTGGGAATACTAAATAAGGGAGCTGAGCAAGCCTGAGAGAGGGATCAAGAGAAGATCATCAGCCAAGGAAGGAGTCAGCTAAGCCAGGGGGTAGAGGTTAAAGGCAAAGAGTATGTGTAAGATCTCTGTAGAGACAGAGAGAGGAAGATGAGTGGGCAAAAGCAGTAAGAAGACTAACGATGAGGTAGAAAAAAAGTAGAGTGTCACAAAAGTTAAGGTCTCCCATTGGCCAAATACAACTAACTGAAACATATTTATCAAAGCCTATGCTTTCAAAATGGTAATTTTATAAAGTAAAGATCAAATTTTAAAAAGATTCTAACTCCTAAGATGCCACTAGAAATAATGAAGCCACCAACTCCTTTTTACAAATACTGTCCATTAAAAAGAAAAAAAATTATCCTGCCTTTCCTATACAAATTATACACATCAGGGTGATCAAGCAGTCTTGGAGGATGAGGAAAAAGTTCCTTTTACAAAAGAAATTTCAGTGTGATAGGTAGGAAATTAGAAAATCACCATCTTGCAGCTCCTAATAAGATAACTGATTGTGGCAATGATCATCAAGGAGTGAAACCATTAGGTTAAAGTAGTAAGATAAGGTTATGCTGTCACCATCTGAACCTACTGATCAATCTTAGCATCACCAAGTGAGATAGCCTCTTAATGTGATGTGATATGAAGCACACAGCACCACTTGCAAAATATTCTTACCAAAAAAAGCAAGCATCATGTCCCTAAAGCAAACTTTATTTACCACAATTATGAGGGGAAAAGTTAAATAATATTGCAAGGAAGCAAAAGAAAAATACAGAATGGGGGATAATTAACAAGACAACTGGGAAATTCATGAGGGAAAAAACAGAGTTGGGAATTCTCTACATTAAAAACAACTTAAGGGACATGACAAGAAAATGAGTATGTGGTCCTTGTTTGGATCATGATTCAAACAAACCAAATAAGAAAACACTTTTGAGACATATAGGGAACTCTGATTGTAGATGGGGTATTAGATAGTACCAAGGAATTACTGTGGGTTGGAATGATGTACACCTTCTTAAAAGGAGAAGTATAGCATATTCTTCATATGTACCCCAAAACCTAAAATGCAATAAAAAAATAAAACACAGAGAGAAGTATAGTAAAGTAAGCATGAAATGACATGCCTGGGATTTGTTCTCAAATACTTCAGCAATTTTAATAAAAGGAAAAAGAAGATAGTAACAAATGTGGCAAATTCTGGTATTTGATGACTTCAGCTGGTAGGATTCACATCACTATTCTTTTTTTCTTTGTTAGCATTTTTCATAAAGAATAAGTGTTCCCTGGATTTACTGAGATGATTAATGACCTTAACTATTTAATAAAATAAAGAAAACAGAAACCAGCTTAGCAAATAGTTTATGAAGAGGAAAAGAGTGGTAGCTCAAGTGAAATGTGAGATTAAAGTAGTTTTTCTGTTGTTGTTATTACTGTTTCAAGAAAAAATAAACTTTGAGTTACTTAAATGTGGATGAGAAGAAGGTGAAGATTTTCAGGGAGGGAGTGCAGTTAGAATAATCAACAGCACACAGGTCCTCAGAAGATAGGTTAACAGATCCTGAGACAGGTAAAAAGAGGAAAAGGTGAACAGAGGGAGGAAAAGAAATAGATTTGGTGGAGGGAAGTTGAAGGAATTACAATAAGGAATTCTATTTATTTTCTTTTCGTTTTTTTTTTTTGTTGTTGTTGTTGTTGTTTTTGAGACAGAATCTTGCTCTGTCACCTAGGCTGGCTGGAGTGCCGTGGTGCGATCTTAGCTCACTGCAACCTCCACCTCCTAGGTTCAAGCAATTCTCATGTCTCAGCCTCCTGAGTAACTGGGACTACAGGTGCACACTACCATGCCTGGTTAATTTTTGTATTTTTATTAGAAATCGGTTTCTCCACGTTGGCCAGGCTGGTCTCAAACTCCTGACCTCAGGCGATCTGTCTGCCTTGGCAACCCAAAGTGCTGGGATTACAGATGTGAGCCACTGCGCCCAGCCCTATTTCGTCTTTGAAGCAGCGGTCAAGGCCATCTGCTAAAAGTAACAACAGAGAAATTTGAGATCTGAAGAGAATAAAGGTTTAAAATTACTGCTATAGAAAGTGGGAGAATTAAGTTGAAAGTAGGAACTTCACAGGATTACCAGGCAATATTGAGACCTGAGGTTGGTGATCAAGAATTTATAGAGGTATTATTCACACTTCCATAATGTGTGATTTTTCTCAAGCAGTATCTAGACAGACAGTTGGGCTTATAACGGCTTGGTTTTTTTTTTCAGGCAGAGGTAATACAAAAATAAGGAAGTTTAGCATATCGGCAAGAGACACTGAAACGTAAGGCCATGGAATCCAAACTAGAGTAGTGAAGACAAAAAGAGCTAACAGAGCAGAAAGTATCAGTTGCCTAAAGATCCAACAGTCTTGAAGGATCCTGGATAATGAATGCTTTGGCTTGAAAAGGACTTCTGTCGTTTGTCAGAAAAGCCAAATGTGACTTTTCCCCTTGATTCACAGGTATTGCCAACTGACATAGGTATAGCTGTGATTAGTAAAAGGGAGCTAATGAGTATAAGGAATACACGGATGGGCATCTCTATACTGAGACAGGACAAGCAGTGGTCCTAACCATGCTGCTCAGTATTTCACGGTCAATATTCTACTTGGCTTGCAAGTAGGAGACGGCAGCATTTAAACATTAGTGTTTCTTTTTTTGTTGTTGTTGTTTTTTCTTTTCTTATTTATGGCAGAAAAAAATATGGAACACTTCACGAATTTGCGTGTCATCCTTGCGCAGGGGCCATGCTAATCTTCTCTGTATCGTTCCAATTTTAGTATATGTGCTGCCAAAGCGAGCACTAAGCATTAGTGTTTCTAAGAGTTTTGTTCTAGTACTCTCCTCTATCTTACTCTGGAATTAAGCCTCCTAAATGACATCATCCGTATCTACCACTTTAAATACTACTTAGGTTCTGATGGCTTTCTTATGTTCCTCCTGAGTTCACATCCATATATGTGACTACCCAGGGGACACCTCAAACTCATTATTCTACCCACAAACACCTGCTCTTGCTTTAGTATTCTGAATCTTAGTGAAGAGTAAGGGATCCTTCGGTTATGCCATCCAGGAGCCCAGGATACCTTTGTCCAGTCATTCGCTTTTATTGATTCTACAACTTAAATCTCTCTCAAATCCACATCCTGTTTTTTCTCTCCACTCGGAACTGTCACTGCCTTAATTCAGGTCTTTCTTGCTTAGATTTTGGCAACAGCTTCAGAACCCATATCTCTGCCTCCATTCCAACCCACCAATAATCTATCTTCGTATTTCTCTAAGAGATACTTCTAAAAATCTCTTTATTTTCCTGTCTAGCTTAAATCCTACAAGGGTTTAGAATTGCTTAAAGGACAGCTCCTTAATAAAGCATACAAGGCACACCAGTAATCCAATTCATATTGTCTCTCCCATTGTCACCACTGACTCAGGTCATTTATGCAGTAAAACTACCCTGATCTAGTTACTGGTCCCAAATGTATTATACTCTGCCATAAACCATGCTATGTTATTTCCTCTGCCTGGATGCCCTAGGATCTCCTTGACTATGAGCAGGGATTGTGGTTTTCAACCTTGTATACCCAATGCCTGACATACGATATATACAATAAATGGCTACTACATAACAAAATGAGCCATTTCATTTTTAAAATAGCACCAGATTCAAATTCCCATTTTCCTAACAAAACTAAATGGAACTAGTTAGTCATAGTTTGAGAGACTTTATTTCAAGAAACAAAGAAAACACTTTGTTTTTGCTGTCCTGTCCTTAACTACTTAAATATTTCATCAAATTTTGCATTTTTCCAGGATTGTAGAAAAGATGAATGACTGGAATAGCTGAAAGAATAATTCTGAGAATACTATTATCTTCATCCTACTGTTAGGTAATCCTTGAAATTCATGTTTAATAAGTTAATAACTAATCTTCAATGATTAAGTAGAATGAATTTTAGCTTGTCAATCAAGTTATTTAAGAAAAATGAAACAAAAGTAATTTAAAGAAGTGTCAGATAAGAAAAGTAAAAAGAGCACTAGAGGGAATAGTTGAATTTATGTTGCTCTACTTCTTGAGAGGTATACGGGTAAGTTACAATCTCTGTTTTCTCTCTTCATCCACAAAATGGGGATAACAAAAGTATTATTTCACAGGGTACTTGTGAGAATAAGTTAATCCATACAGGACAATGCGGAACCTATTGCCATACCAACTGGTAAGGAAGCCATCAAAGACTAATAACCAGAGTGTGTCAAAGGGACTTGGGAGCCAACTTGAAAAGGCTCACACTAGCTAAAGATGTAACAATTTAAGCATCAATAAGAATGATAACTGCTGGATTAAAAAATAGCAAATAGTTTAAAGACTGCAGTTTCTGACATTAAAAAAAAAACCGGAGAATACTAGACAACCAAATCTTTATTCTGAAAACCAGGAATAAAGAGAAAGAATCAACCACACAGATGAGGTGAAGTTTCTCCTCACAGAAGTAGTCCAACAAATAAATGAATCCAGGTGGAATAGCACTATTTGTAATAATGAATTAATGGATCTAGGTAATGATCACCAATGGCTGATCACTCAGAAAAAGAGATAACCAGATATTTTATGTCTTCTGATAAAAAATATAATACCTATAAATAGTCTTGCAAACAATAAATGTAAGCCCTAGGTCTAACTCAGTCATCAAGAAATACAGAGAACAAAGGAATGTGTTAAACTATACCATGGAAATGCAATCAAAAAAGTCTTACATGAAAAGTAACACTCCAAATCCTATGGAATATATTTATATATATATTTTTAATTCCACTAAAGTATTTTGAATACACTCAATACTGTCAGCCAGTATCATTACGGTTTTTTATTTGAAACTGAAAACTTCATACTTACTAGTTTGCTGCTGCTGATGTTGTGTATTAAATCCTCCAAATCCCAGTCCAGTTCCCAAACCAGTACCTAAACCAGTACTAGTTCCCGTTGTTGTGCCAAAACCAGTACCAAATCCAAAACCTTTGTTTTGAGTACCACCGAAGAGTCCTTTGAATGAAAAATTGGAACTCGGTAAGTTTAAAAAAAAAAAAATCTGATCTCTACTTCATTTACTTCTACAGATGACTTAAGATGGTCTCTTACCAGTAGTGCCTGTGTTAGTGGGGGCAGAAAAGCTGAATGCAGAACCTGCAGTTGTAGATGTTGTCCCAAATCCTCCAAACCCACCTAATTAAAAACAAAAATAGAAAGGAAGAATCTTTTGTATATATAAAGGCAACTTCTTTTAAATATTATTTTATAATTGCTACATGTAAAATCAAAATACATTGATCTAATTTTTCCTTTCGCTACTTTCAAGATCAATTTTTTAGAAAACTGTATTACTAATCAAGAAGTCAAAATGTTACAAGAAATGAACAAGTAAGCATTTAAAATAGAAATACCACAATGTGATATATACCCTTCAATTAAAGGGGTGGTTAACGGTTACAGCTGAGAAAACACATTAAGCCTATTGCCATAATTCTAAAATGACTTTGTATGTACTTTTAGAGGAGGTGTTCCAAATTCATACCTAGAAGATTTAGATTGATAACAGTAATGAGTAGACTGTGTGTTTACTGACAGTGGAACTGTTTAACATGAACCATTTTTTAGACCAGCAGTTCTTAAATTCCAGCAGATATAAGACTGGTAGTTTTAGTAGTGTCACATATTCCCATTTTTTCCCCTAAGAAAAACAGGAAATTTGGATTTTCTATGTAAAATTTATTGGTTTTTAAACCCTAATTCAACTACTTTTTTGGGGGCAAGGAATTAAAAATAATGTGCCTAACATATCACATTGGCAGACTTGTGGCAACCTTGGATTTGGTTAATTAATTTATGTCTAGATTAGCTTATATTTCTACTTAGTCTCTGTCAAGACTAAGTAACTTTTCAAAGGTAACATACCAATATACTTACCCCACACAACAATTTGTTTCTTGAAGGAAGAGATATGACAGATAAATGGAATGCTAGCCAATTTAAAATAGTTTTGTTATTTTTGTAACTTATTGTCAGTCTTCAGCTGATTACCAATGTGATACCAAAAAGCCTTTCAAGACAAATGTCTGAACCATTAGTGTCTAATAATATTGCAGGTTTTTTAGAATCTACCTTTGATCTCCTCTATTTCTGGTATACAACACAGATTCATCAATACTGTAATATAGAAGATACAAGAAAAAAAAAATGCAACCATTTTACATTCTGATTCGGAAACCTACTCAAAAGTAAACTGCATATGGCATGCAGGCACAACTAAATATTCTATTTACTTGTAGTTTCTATTGCAGTACTGCAAACTGTGAACATGTTCATAAAAATCACCTAAAGTACTAAGCACTGTTCTAATCTCTTTTCACTACTCTTTACTTCCATTGAATAACTATTATATAATCTGAATTGGCTACACAATAGAAACACTAGTCAGTTTCTCATCATGCTCCACACTAAAAAATGTTTTAGTAATAGTGGATTTGCAAGAATACAAAATAAAAAGTAAAGATGAACTTCTATCAGCCCTTTGCTGAAGGTTAACACATATAAAAGGAGTTAAAACATGTTACAGTATCATAACTCAAAACTTATCAGTGATGACTCCAAATGAACATGAAATCAAGCAAATACCAACGAGTTTATTGTTGCTGAATTATGAGCTGGGTGGCTTTATTCGGAAACACAAATTTCAAAATAAGATTTCTGTTTTACCCAGTGCCAATTTTAAGCAAACAGGGAAAAGTAAACAGGTTAAAGGACAATGATATGTGATCACTTCAAATACATCTTAACTAAAATGGATCATCTTGTCTTTGGAGTTTTCAAATATTCTTCTAACAATTTTCAACTCAGATGCTAGGGTAATAATCACATTGCAGTAACAAGTGAATGACCAAAACAACAGACTTCCCAGGTAAGTTTTAGGGAGTAAATAACATTTATCAAATGCATATAATTGGCATGGGCATAAGAGGCATGATGTAAGAGACTATGGACAATAAATTCATATACGAGCAGCTGAAGAACAGGATTTTTTCTATAGGGTCACTATGTAAAGTATACACAAACCTATTTTAAATGTATATATAATATCCATTATTGTGTTCTGCAAAATTTTTAATGAACTTCAAACAACCCACATGCATACAAAAATCTTCATAATTTTTGAATGCAAAGACAGCTACCCTACCTTTTAAAATTCGATGCTATTTGACATAAAATTAAACTGCTCTGTTTGAGCATTTCCCAAAATTCTAGCAAAGAATTCTGGATTCTTTCTATAATTACATATCTTATAGAAATTACATATCTTATACTATCTTAATCTGCTGAGTTGACCAAAGGAATACATTATTAAGTTAAAAAACAAAACAGGTTACTGCTGTTCGTATAAGATTTGTTTCTCTTTGGAAACACAAGGACAATAAAATGAAATCCCAATGAAAGATGCAGAGAAAATGAAATATGACTGCAGGAGTCCAAGAATCCCAGGATGGGCTTGGATGGTGCTGAATTTATACTTTGGAAGTTAAATCTATTAATTTAAAGATATAGTGTATTCAAAATTATAATCCAAATGCTTAACATTTGCAAAATAAGTGCACATTTAATAAAGGAACATTATAACTTGCAGAATTTTCCAAACCACATCTTTTAAGGCAGTAAAAACTCGATACGAATGTTTTTGATTTGACATAAGGAAATAAATTTCCTTTCCTTATTAGACAAGTTACTGTTTTTTCCCAAACTCCAGAAACCACAATATTCTTGGACTCCAGCTCCCAATACTCGTTACACATACAACCCGCAGTATCTACCTGCACTTGCCAGACTGTTACCAAAATTGAACGGAGTCGCCGAGGTAGTAGAAACACCGAAATTCCCAATATTAAAGTTCACTGCAGGATTAGCAGTTAATCCGAAACCCCCAAAATTAAACCCACTGGCGGTGGAGTTGGCAGTCTCAAGCCCACCAAATCCTGATAGGCATGTAGGCAAAGAAACAAAATTTTAAAAGGAGGGAGAGGGAAAAAGAAAAGAAAGCAAGATAAGGATTAGAAGAATCAGCAGAAGGTTTCACAGAAATGAACAAACCTGGTTTTGCTCCAAAAAGGTTAAGAAAGCAGAGGCGGGTGGGTGGGGGGAGGGAATGGAAGAAGCACGACCTATATAAGCCCCAAAGCGAGGACCACAAGGGGCCGGGGCTGGAACTAAGGGAGGCAAAGGGCAGTGCCGGTGGATCGTCAGCCCTATCCTCGCCGAGTGCGGCAGCGGGAATCACGAGAGCGTTCCCGCCCCTCCGGGAGGCTGAGGTGCAGAAGGGAGGGAGGCTCTCGGGCAAGGGTAGAGGGGAGCAACCTCCCATTTCTCTGAGTAGGAATCCCTGGCGGCGCGAAGAGCACCGCTGAAGCCAGGGCCCTGCGGGAACTCACGCGCAGCACGCGAGCTTCTGCTGACACCACGAGTACCCCCGCGGCCTCCTCCGCAGCCGCCTTGGCCCATTCTGCCGCAGCCCGCCCTTTTCCAATGCTTCTGAAGTCTCGGTGCCGGCGGGAGATCGCAGGATCCCCGAGCCGGAGAGTCTCGGACAGGGGGCGGACCAGACCCTTCCCCTCCTTCCCGGGTGAAGGTCTAGAGGGGATCACTCACCCGCGGGGGCCGCGGTGGCTGCAGCGGTGCCGGAGGTGCCCGAGGGAGCCCCAAAATTGAAGGCCATGTCGCGAGAGCAGGAGACCAAGGAGGTACTCCCGCGACCCGCGGTACGCTCCTCTTCTCAGTCCGGCGGGGAAACCGCCAGTCAGATCACCGAGTTCTGCCTCTTTTCCGGCCAAGCCGAAAAGGCCGGAAAGCGCCAAGGGCGTAGGAGGTGGGTGGTTGTGAGGGAACGCCCCCCGCCGGCTCACTTCCGGGGACTTTCACAAGGTGTTGGGTTTCACAATTAAGGTACAAGACTGGGATGTTCGCGAGGTTGTGCCTCCTGAGAGTCCTTTGAAAACGGCCGTAGGAAGGTTCTTTGGGAAAGGTGTGCAGGGGCTGATGTTGTTACTGTAGGGATACGCGGTAGACAGCTAGAATTTGCATATGATAGGGTTGAAGTTGCAGCCCCAACAAAGAGCCGGCCTGGGAGGTCGGGCAGCTGGACTGGGGTTGAGAACCCCCCACCACCCACGAGGAGGTGGTATTTGAACCCTGTGCTGAAGGATGAGTAGGCGAAGCGGAAGCAGTAAAGAGGAGGCAAGCTGGAAGAAATGAGAGAATGGAGTTGTAGCAGACACGTTTCGTTTACTCTATGCGAGGCACTCCTCTAGCCATTTTACGTAATTTAATCCTCAGCTGTCTTGTGAGGTGGGTTACTGCTATCCCCAGTTTATGGAAGCGGAAGCAGGTACTAGAGTGTCAGGCTATGTCCAGAATCTGTACTCTTAACCACAGCTGTTAAGGGAAGCACTGAAAAAGAGGGGAAGAGTGGCCCTTCTCCACTGTGCTTAATATCATTTAATCTTCAGAATAACTCAATAAAGGAGCTTCTGTAACTATATTTTGAAGGTGACATGAGAGGATGGAGGTTTGGAGTTGTTAAAGCAGCTTGTTCAAAGTCACCTTACAGGTAGTTTCTGGAGTCATTTTGAACTGATGTTTCTCCACTCCAGAGTCTCAATTTGTAAAAATTACCATTATATTATATTGCCTTGTAATTTATGGTAAGCATTTCAGACTATTTCTGGTGGGTAATGGAAAACCTTTAAGGGGTTTTAGGCAGAGGACTAGTATGATTAGAATTTTATTCTTAGAAGATCCTTCTGGCTGCCATGAGGAGAATGGCTTGGAAGGAGCCAGTGTGCCTCGGGAAGGTAGAGCTTTTAGGAGCCTGTTGTAGTTGTACAGTTAAGAGATGATAATGACTTGGATTATATCTGGCAGTGGAAATTAGAATAAATTTGAGAGATACTTAAGAAATAGCATATATAAGACTTGGATTCAAGGACAACCCCTTGCCTTGTGTCTTGAGCAAGTTGGTGAATGGTGGATCAGAGTCTGATACCTGCAAACTAAATATGCTCTCATACCCACTGCACTGCCTTCTTTCACTGTTTGCCACAGATTATCAGTCTAATCTTTCCTCACAATAATATGTATTCCATAAGTGCAAGAACCATGTCCCTTTTGTTCCATGCCCAGCACAAGCACCTGGCATATAATAGGGGGAAATGACAGATAGGTGGAAGCCAGATCTTGAAAGACCTTCCTTAGCATGTTAAGGAGCTTTGATTTACCACCAGCTTGTCCAGCCTGCAGCCCACAGGCCACGTGTGGCTCATGGCTCAGGATGGCCTTGAATGCAGCCCAACACAAATTTGTAAACTTTATCGAAACATTGTGAGGTTTTTTTGTGATTTTTTTTTTTTGTAAGCTTATCAGCTATCATTAGTGTTAGTGTTTTTTATGTGTGGTCTAAGACAATTCTTCCAGTGTGGCCCAAGGACGCTAAAAGATTAGACACCCCTGATTTAGCACGTAGTCTAATGGTTAAGTACTTAGCTTACCTTAACAATAAAACAAACAAACAAACCCCTAATCTAGCAGAAAGAAAAACCAAAGATTAATTATGGACTCTGCCAAAAGGCTGAGGAATTGAAGGTGTCATGTATTTTCATAAGGTAGGGTAAGGGGAAGATAAAATGAGAGGAACTGGTTGAAAGTCTTTAAGAAGCAGTTAGAGCTCCCCAAATCCTCTTCTGACCTAGTGCAGCCAAGTGAATGCTTTCTTACTCCAGAAAAATAATGGAGGATTCTTCTCCACAGTGATTAAAATAATATTGTCTGCCAGGCACAGTGGCACCAGCCTATAGTCCCATCTACTTGGAAAGCTGATGTGGGAGGATTGTTTGAGCCCAGGACTTCAGCCAGCCTGGGCAACACAGTAAGACCCTCACCCCAATGTCAAAAAAATAAAATAGTAGTGTCTCTGGACTTGAGGGCACCAGACATTATTGAGAGTGGGTAGTACCCTACTGAATGCTGGAAGACAGAGTGGAAATGCATGCCTATGCACCTTCCCCTACTGCTTCCAGAGCATTGGCAGCCTGGCCTTTACCCTCCAGGAAGTTATAGGAGAATCTTCTGTGGTTCCTATACTGAAACGGCCAGTATCAGAGAAAGACAATCATCTGATATCAGAAATCCCTAAATAAATGATTCAGCCCACATCACTTTATAGCAGTAGTTCTCAACTGGAGCCAGTTTTGACTTCTACTCCTCCCACCCCTGGTGCACTTGGCAGTGTCTATAGACACTAAAAAAAGTTGAAGATGCTGCAAAATATTCTAGGACAGACTCCCTTCCTCTCCAAACAAAAAATTATCTGGCCCCAAATATCACTATTGCAGATTTTGAGAAATCCTGCTTTATCATAAAGCTCACACTTTGCAGGCCTCACTAAGACACTCAGAATTTACATTCAGCTTTTAAGTCCCTCTTCCCCCCACCGCCTCCCGCTCTTAAATATTAATAGACCAGCAAGGATTACCAAGCTGAGGAGAGCCTTTAACATGAAGTATAGAGATCAAAACAAATAGAGCAGCAAAAGCAGCTTGGAGGAAACTAACTGCAAGGAGAATAAAACTTTTAAAAAGTGAACATATCCACAAAGAGATAGCAAGAGATATTGTAACCATGAAATAATATCAAGATACTGTTATTTTCAAAGAAGGTGTTCTTAGCAGAACAAAAGAGAACTATTTTAAAGATATGACCAGAAATGAAAAACCCAGTAGAAGTGTTGGAAGATAACGAAGAAGAAATCTCTCAGAAAGTAAAACAAAAAGACCAAGGATGGAAAATTTAAAAGAAAGTAAAACTAGAGGACTAGTTCAAAAAGTCCTCTGTCACACAAATTGTTATATCATGCACACTGATAGAATAATTCCTGAAAAAGTATAGAGAAAAATCTGTTCTTGAAAGTCCTTCAAGATTTACTGTGTTCCCATTTTTCGTTCATTTAGGGTTTATTGAACTCTACTATATACTTGGCAGTATTCTGAGCACTGAACAAGAAAGACATGGTTTGTGCCTTTGGGAACTTAGTTAAGTGAGGGAAAACCAGATATTAATAGGACAGTTGTAGACCAAGTGCAGTGCCTCACACTTGTAATCCCAGCACTTTGCCAGGGCGGCGGGGGGTGCAGGGGTGCCAAGGCAGGACGGTTACTGAGCTGTGAAGACAGACCAGCCTGGATAATATAGGGAGACTCCATCTCTACAGAGAAATAGACAAAATTAGCCAGGTGTGGCACACGCCTCTAGTCCCAGAGGTTGAGGCTGCAGTGATCAGAGATCATGCACTCCAGCCTGGGTGACAGAGTAAGACCTTGCCTCAAAAAGAAAAAAAAAATATTACACTTATGACTGTTCAAAAAGGCAGTTTAGGTAAGGAAATTGTTAAATAATTCAAGAAAATTTATCATAATTGAAAGACACTGCTGGGTTGAAAATGGTTCACCAAATGCTTATTACAATTAATGAAAATAGACGCACACTAAGGCACTTTCCAAAATAACAGAACCATGATAGCATAGAAGTTTCTAGAGAGTAAAAGAGGTCACACAAAAAAACGAGCATTAAAATGGCATCAGACTTCTCAGTAGCAATGCGAGCTAGAAGGTAGCTGAGAAATGCTTTTTAATTTCTGAATAAAAATTATTTCCAGCTACAATTCTATTCCCAGCCAAGTTATAGATCAACTGTGAAAGGAGAATAATAGCATTTTTAGACCAAAAAAAAAAAAAAAAAAAAAAAAAAAAACCTCCTATTTCTCAGGCAGTTAATTACTAGTTAGTTACTAGAGGATGTTTGCCACGAAGATGGAGCCAACACTGAAAGAGGAAGCCATCAGGAGCTCCAACACAGATGGCAGGAATTCCCAGGATGACTTGGAGAGCAACCAGTCCAATGTATTAAGTCAGGTTCGGGGGAAGGCTACTTCATAAGGATGAGCAATTTGAGAGAGATTTAGACAATTAGCAACGAGGTTGTGGTTGAATTGGTGATAAACACGAGAAAACTAAGCCAATGAGACAATTAAACAGTATTAGATGAGAAAGGAAAAGTGTTGAAAGGTTTCTACATGGCTCAATTGTGCAGTTTTCACGTAATCCCAATAATGTGAATTGAATAGACAAAATTATGACATAAGTATGTTGGAAAGATGGGGGAATGAAAAGAATATGTGTGTGTATAGAATAGAGCTAAACCCTCATCCTCCATGGCAGGGAGTCAGTGGGTAACGCTGAAACAAAATTCACCAAGCAGCATATTATCTAGAGACAAGGGAGTAAGTTAAAAAAAAAAAAAAAAAAAAAAAAAAAAAAAAAGGCTAAAAGAGGTGCCTGCAAGCACTCTGAGAGTAGTGTCTGCTTTTCTTATCTTTTTTAAAAATAACAATTGTAGAACTGTTTGATTGTTAAATCTTTGTGCTTGTATGTGTAACTTTAAAAAAATGAAAACAAACAACAATATCTAAAAACCTTTGTACCTATCAAAATTACCGATGTCGTTTGACTCAGCAATGCTACTTCTAGGAATTTATCTTATAAATGATTTGGCAAAATAATGGAATACAAGGTAATTCATTATAGCACTGTCTATAATAATGATTGGAAATAAATCAGGATTTGGTTAAATAAATTTTTGCCTTTATACAAAGGAATACTATTCCACTATGAGCTGGGAACAAGAAGGCTTTTAGTACTGAAAAGAAAGACCTCAAAGATAAATTACATGTGGAATGTTCATCCTTGGAGTTGAAAAAAAAATTACATGAAAAATGCACAATTCAGAACACTGTGTATTTGTGCTACAATCTGGGTTTTTTTTTTTTTTAAAGAGGGCTAGAATATATAAATACACATGATTTATACAAAATATTCCTGGAAAAATACACGTACAAAACCAAATAATATTGGTTGCATCTAGGAAGATGTATTGGGTGG